CATATATAAACTTCGTATAAACTATACGATCACAGTTTCGTCTTCAATCACCATTTCGAACAACTTCTGTTGTTAGTCACGAGTTTTCATAAAGCAATCATAAGTTGGAATCGGAAGCGATTCTCGACAGAATTGGGACAGGAAACCAAAACAAGTGTTTCTGCCAGCTCCAATTTCATGTCTGAGTCTGAGAAGTTCGCCCTGTCGACATCATTATTTGCGAAAACACACAAACATCCTGAAGTTATCTGGAAAGCTTGCAATATATTATATAAGAAGTGATTTGGGTAATAATATAATTGAATCAAAAATGCATTAATATTGAGGAAAATTTGAATTGAACCAGCCAGCAATTTGATAGCGGAAAGTTTGTCAGTGAGAAAGGGAAACAAATGTAGTGATGTTTATAATCAGATGAAATAATGCCATGATCTTTCATTATTTTTCAAACTACTTTTGTATTCTACAGTCAAGAATAAGATATTTAACTAATCACAAATCCAAAAGTCGCGAAGTTACCATTTATAATTTTGAGAAAAACGACTGGCCAGAATTGAGTTCACAAATTCGACCTAAACCGTAATGATTGATAGAATGGAATAATTCAAAATTGAAATAATTGACATTTTATCGGCTATCAGTAGAATCTGTTGGTCTATTCATTATTTGAAAACCATTTTCTGTTGGGATTCTTCAACAAAACAAACCCTCAAATATTTGTTACATCGAAATTTAAATAATCAAAAAAAATTGTCTCTGAAATGAGTATGATGTGAGCGGAAAAATTTGTCTTTCGCTTCTTCACGTAGACACAAAGCACAACAACTGGACGAAATTCAAGAATTGAACTGAAGTTTTAAGCAGAGTTCGAAGCCTTTCAAGTCCTAACTTCACGAAGTGTGTCCATGGAATAACGTATAATTTCATTATTAGCAGGTTTTTATTTCAATTAGATATAATGTCTGAAATACTTATTTGATTTTCAAATTCTGGAGTTACCGTGCTGAACTTATTTCAAAAATTTACTACAACTTATCTGTGGTGAAAAACAACAGAGGTGAAAAGTACAGTGTTTTTCCTATTACTTGGGAGCCGTCTGACTCATCAATTTCTTTCGAAAATCCCAAAAACATTATAGCCTCATGGGCTCATTGCATTTCTGCCTCAACTTTTTCATGAAATCCATTCCAAAAATCGTTGTTTCCTGCACTACTTTGTACCTTGCTGCATGTATGTCATATTCTTCTGGACATACTATAGGTTTTTCATGGATTGTTTGCCGCCTGTAATCCAGTGCCTTATATTCGCATTGAACAAGACTCTTTTTGTTACATTGCCTGCAGCTGAGGTCTCCGTCGCACAGCCCTATTTTGTTCAGGTGTCCTGTCGAAGGACACTGTCCAATAAGTATCTTTGCGAATGTTCAGAGCCGATTCCTGCTTCGCTGAAAAATTTCTTCAATGGCCTTTTCGGACGGCTCTTTTATAAAGATTTTTCTGTATTCATTCCCAGATTATTTTTCCAGTACTGCTTGTGTTTATTATAGATCCACCTCCAATTCGTTTTCGTACTAAATATTCCGAAGTTGATGGCACACTCATTAGCTTTTTGATTACCTGTGATATTTTGAGTATTCTGGCAACCAGTCAAGATATTTTTGTTCGTCAGTTTCTTCACTTCTTCACGGAATTCACAGACCAGTCATGAAATCACTTTTGGATTTTTCAGTGTCTCAAGTGCAGCCTGGCTGTCTGTGGAAATATGGATCCGCTAATTTTGTTGACGCTCCCCTTGACAATGAAATTTACCTGTTTTTTCGATTCCTTATATTGTTTACTAGAAGGAAGATATTAAGGGTGAGAAGTTTCCAAATTGACACCCTGTATATTCACAAGACCACAGCAAGTTGAACTATATACTTAGACGAAACCTTCAGTCTTAACTACCAAACAGAAACATTGAGCGGAATAACCTTTAAATATATTTAAAACTAGTTTTGAGTTATGATATATTCAAACCCATACTCGATTGTTTCTGTCCAACCGTATTATACAATAACCATTATTCGTCAAGAAATATTTCGAAAAAATCAATGTCAGTGAGATATTTCATATGAATTAGTTAGTTATTTATTTATTTTGTGAAAATGCATGTTATTAATAATGCTAACCATAATCTTCATTCGTGAAAATATCAAATCATTATCGAAAAATATTTCAATTACCGAATTGATCGCCGTTTCTAAATTTACTTCGACCTTCAGGACGACCGAACAATTCGCGTGCGAAATAAAATTAGGCCATGAATATCTCATTTGTAAGGTGTGACAGGTGTGTTTTACTTTCGTTTCAGTCCAGTGGTTGAAACATAATGTAGTTCATGATCAAAATTCGTAACAAACAGTAGACAGTTTAGGTGATTTCTGTCGAAAATAGAAAAACACCAACACCGTTGATTTTAGCCTCTTTCTTTTTATTACTCAACTATTGGGATATTGAAGATATTACTTTATTGAAACAGAAAAAGGAATCGCATAGTACCTTCAGCATTATTCATCCGACAAGAGGTATAGGAAGTTTTATGTGAAAGTTCACTTTTAATGGAGGTTCTTGAGAAACTTTAATTTTTGAAATTCAGTCAGTTAAAAGTAGGTAAGTAATCTCGATTTTTCACCCCATTCAGTTGCTTGATAGTGTCATCATATCAATGATACCTTGTGTTATTTCATCATAACATTTTTAACCTTCAATAATCTGAAAAATAAATGAATTAAGATCGATACAGAATTTGTTCGAATGTAACGCAGGGTGAACTGAAATGTTTATCCTGAGAAGTTACTACTATTGTTGCCTCTTATCGGGACAAGACAAGAAAATGCCTCTTCTTGTCTTGTCTTGACTGAGCTGAGAGAAAATTTTCACTCGTCTTGGTACGAATACCGTTTCTCCCGTTCTTTCTTGACGAGAGAACGTCCTTGGTATTCAGAATTTTCTGAAACGGGTAACGTAGCGTGTTTTCAAAGACATACCGAGTTCAATAGGTAGAACTCTGGCGCAAAATTAATCTGTTCTCCTACACCAATATAAAAATACTGTCACTTGACGAGCGTTTCGTAGAAACAATTTCATCATCACGAGATGACTGAACCTGTCATGTCCTGATGGCAACTCGTCTGTTGACATGCGAAATGCGTCTCAGAAGACAATATTTTTTCTTACTGGTTGTATAACCTTCCACAATCTGAAAAACATATCAGTTCAATGAAAGGCAAACTGAAAACTTCACCCCGGAAAGTTACTGAGTATTGTAAACTACTAAAGAGTCCAATTAGATAGTAATTTGTGTTAATGCATTTTGCCTACAAATTGGATATTCAATTGGAATACCTAGCCCCCTTCAGATGGTTAACGTTTCGGATAACAATCTTCAGTCTTGTTTATTTTTCAAATTGTGAACAGTTACACATCTGAAAACAGTAAGAAAGTCCCTCCCAAAAAAATATTTTTCAAAAAATTCAATATTTTTGTTCTGATGTGGGGAAAGTGTTCAATAGATATGCCGAGTTGACACTTCAAACCTCAATAATGAAAACAACAGGTAGGTAATCGACAGGGTTTAAAATAATATCGTTCATATAGTATATAGAATTCCATGATTATATACCGACCAGTTCGAGTGAGTTGTATCATGTAACAGAGGAAACAAATTCCAAAAGAAGAAGAAAATGTTGAAAAGCTATCATTTTGTTGATGAAGAGTAATTTGAGCTTACTGGGGATTCAGAGTTTTGAAAAAAACTCAACTCATTTTATGGATTCCACTTTGTAATTTTATAGAAAACCTGAGCCCTAAATATTTTGGTGCTTTCGATCCCAATTAAATCTACTTAACGATGTGAACTCTTTGGTAAAATTATTTTCTAATAGAAGTTTTTCAATTTTTTTGCCAATCTCAAATCAAATTTATTCAATCATAATATGAATAATCACAAAAAAAAGAATACAGTGGTCATCATTAACACTATTCTCAAGATATCTAAAATATATACAGGGCTTTTGTAGGCGAGTTTTAAAATGACTCACTAGTAGACTCACGCTAGGCAATTGTAGCCTAAATAAATATTACTGGAGTTTTTTCCCAACACCAAATCGTTATTTTTAACACCTCGACACGTGTTTCGATCACCAAGTGATATTCTTGTTCCAAACTCCAGTAATATTCATTCCTACACCAAAGGTTCCAAACAGTGCATCATAAAATTGTAGCCTGTTTTGTGGTCCAAATCAATGAGCCATTTGTACAGTTGTATGTCTTATGTAATTGTATTCAAATGACAAGTGCAGTTTACTTACATTATTTATGAATATAGAAAGAGGATGGAAAAGATAGGAGAAAAAACAATGAAAAAAAGAAAAAAAAAATTCAAAATTACGATTTAAATGAGACTCGATAAGTTTGAACATTTCAATTGAAGTATAACCGTGTTCTCAAACTTGGTGTGGTATTATTGTTAATTTGCGGTGTATGTGAAGAGCTCATATACGCAATATATACAATTATAAGTGAGTATTCATTTCAATATAAAGTTGAAAATTTTTCTGGGTGATTCTGTACATAGTTTTTTGCTTCTTTTTGAATAGTTTTAAGGATTTAATATATCTTTTATATTTTTAGGTAAGATGTTGAATATTCTTGGACCATAAAAGAAAAAATAATATTGGGTGACTGTTTTGAAGAATTCAATTTTCACGACCTGATTCATTTTTGATCGAGATTCTTCGCGAAATCTGCTCGTTTATGGAACATTCTTATTAGGCAGTAATAAGTGTATAGTGAATGCATATCAAACATGTTAGTTTCTTGATACAACTCTCTTGTTGAAAAGAGTCTATTTTTTCAAAGTTAGTTTTTATAGAATGTTTTGAGCGGTTTATAACAGGCTAATAGCATTTTTGACTATTGAATTATACAAAAAATACTTTTCTCTACTCAGTTTGTATTCCAAACATTGATTTCACTTAGATGGAACACTGTCATCCTCACTGGTAGACATCGATGTTTCACTGTAAGACGAAAAAAATACTCTTATATGGTACTGAAGAGCCCTGAGGCAGCCTAGAACCGCTGATGAGTCTTACGGCAGGTCGAAACAGCGCTATCTGCTGAAGAATCATAAATGCGCTGTGTTTTGGCTCTGGTATTCAACAACGTTATTATCTGATCTTAAATGAGCATGAAACCACTTGTCTAGGATACGGGTGAAGGATCATCTCGAGTATTTGTAGCCCAGAAACAAATACTAGGGCTACATGGACAGCTGTCAGCCTATCTTCATAGGCTTACAGCACCTTCCATTCCTATTTTCGAATACATAGTATTTACCAGACAAAACCTTGGTCTATACATGTAATATTGACCTTCTTTAAAGACATCACTTGCTACAAGTTACCAATTGTATAGTCAAAAGAATCTGAAGCGATAAAAACATTCAGAATTATATAACTTTCTGTCAGATGAGAGCTATTATTGTTATCAAGAATTTTTGAATGACAATCTCAGAAATGACTCATTGTGAATATAAGTTGAATGCATATATCTGTATGTTTATTTTTATAGATTTATGAGCTCGTTAGCGTTGAATGTTATAATTTTATATTGATTTTGATCGTCAATCATCATTTCAATCAGCTAGATCTGAGTACAATATTTACATATANGACCATTTAATAAATTTTGTTGTAAGTTACATTCGTTCAATAATCACCCGTCAACTTTTTTTTCCCTAAAGCGATCTAAAAAAAAATTATTGTCATTTTTAAAAATATCCCTAGACTTTTCCGATGTGTGTAAATATCACTGTGTCACTAGGTAGGACAAAACAAAGTCGTTTCCCGCTGTCTGTCCCCATGTATCTTTAAAACTATTCAACGGATTTTGTCAAATTGATAAATTGATTCAATGGATAATATAGTAGAGAAACACTGATGATTTCAGAGTTCTGTGAAATGATGTCGTGAATGAACACACGAGTTTAAAATAATGTTCTATAGTATTGTATACCTTAAAAAGGTCCACGAAAAAGTACGTGATGGCATATTTCTATCTCTCAGGGATAACGCACAATAAATATTTTTTATTCTTTACTTTTTTACGAAGCGATTTTAAGCAATATAGCAATAATTCTTATTTAATTAAGTACCTTAAATACATTATGCATCAATAAGACCTTTTACAGCATGTAATTTGAATAAAGATTTTTGAAGATATTACAGATTAAAAATGTAGGGACATAGTGGTTGTGGCAGTACCGGCCGTGGGGAAGGCACCGCATGCCTATAAATAGCGCGTCGAAGGCCGCACTTCGCCCTATAGCACTTTATGATTAGCACCGATCGCACGCGTTTATATGTTTAGTTTGTATCAGTATTTCACCCGTGCAGAGGCGGGCGGGTCTCTAGTATTTTGTATTCTATATTTGAACATCTGAATTTCAGCTGTTACCTCAATATCTATATCTATAGTTATTCCTTCTTAACGTACCATACATACAAAAAATATCAAAAGTGGTAAATGAAGATATACTCATATAATACATTGAATATACCTATTTGCCGACTATATTCTACGGCTGATGACTGAAATATATATGCGTGGCTAGAAAAAATCGATAAGTGCTGACGTCACTGATGTCGAGAATAACATCAATCATCCACGGATTCAGAAGCTCGAATTCTTCCACATTAACATACGCTGGCCAGGGATTTTGGTCTTTCTTTGAATTGATGACTTCAGCGCTTAGTATGAGGTGTTGTGATAAATGCTTCATTTGTTATAATGATTCCACGAAGTGCCTCTGTGGAATCATTATAACAAATGTCTTCGTGAAAAAAGAAATATCTCTCTCCTGAAGGGTTCTGTTGGATGGAAAAGGCGTAGTTGGTAGGAGAGTGATTGGGCTATTGGGAACAGTTCTGAATGGGATGTTTTTTTTTTCGCTTTTTGCATATTAAAGCAGTAATGTTTTGTTTGAAAATTTGAAAATTTGAAATGAGTCCATTAATATGTGATGTGATTGTGTTGATTGTTGCAAATGTGAAATTCTTTATCGAACAAGTAAATCCAATTTATGGTAAGCTGACATCTTGTATGTAATGTCGAATAACAAAGTATAGACACGAAACTGGAGAATATAAAAAATGATGTTGGCCCATGGGGCTATGGAAATCTGAATACGAGACAACATTTTGTTTTTGTCCTACGAAGCTTGAGACATATCAGACTCACAAACGAATATCTCTTATAAAGAGCAGATGTATCGCAGTGTCACTTATGTGAAACGAAACTTAGATTGAAATACATTTTTAGCAGTGTCACCTAGAAAGAAATACTTTCAATATACCTCAAGAAGTCAATGGAATGTGAAATGTTGAAAAAAAATGTTATGTAACTGTGCCGAATGTAATTACTGAATTTCGAGACAAATTTTATACATCCCAACGCTATNGTTGAAAAAAAATGTTATGTAACTGTGCCGAATGTAATTACTGAATTTCGAGACAAATTTTATACATCCCAACGCTATTACTCAGTAAGTTGATGTTTTTTGTATATAAATGAGAAAGTACCCAGATGAATCTAGTGAAAACACTTACTTTCGAACAAAAATACTGATGGTTAAGAAACGGGCGTCGAAAGAAAGTGTCAAAGTGTTTTCAATAGAATAAGTGAATTTTTCAATTTTTTCAAGAATATACAACAATTTTTTTTCGATCTCCTTATTTATGTATATAATAAGTACATAGTGTTAATATGTCCTATATCTGAAAGAAAAAAATATTTTTGAAAACCTACTTATACAATTATACTGTATCATGAACCACCTACTTCTTCTTAGTGTGTTAACAAACCCTGTTAAATCTTTGTGCTGCTCCAGGTTGTTATACAATAAACCACAATAAATCCATTGCCAAACAATTGCGTCATTTTTATTTTTTGATACTGTTTGAAACATCTCTTTTGGATCACCACTATTGTTACACTGGCTAAATTTCTTATTTATTTTTTCCTTACACCATTTCCATGTATCATTCGAAATTCCGCAATCTCGTAACCGATGTGGAATGCTATCTATTTCATTGCATTCCAAATATAAACTGGAGTCACTGAGTCCATGTCTCACAGTTTTTGAACCCACCGCATATATTTCGTTTATTGCTTTGCATGCAACGGATCTTCATTTTGACGAAATATTACGGTTTCCAATGACTTTCCATACCGTACTACAATTTATATTTGTCAGAGACTCAACTCAGTATACAATTTATCAGCTCTTTCAATAATGACCGCCAGTTGATCAACAATTTTGACTTATTTGATTAGAAGTTGATGATATTAAGAAATTTATTTTCAACTGAAAATTAGTCGATATCATTTTCATATGGTCGATACTTGGATCAAAATTTTCGATGAACTTATTAAAAAACCGTTCAGCGAGAAATGATCACACGAGTTAACTGAAGCAGAAAAAGTTTTATTATTCAATGACGCATATTGATGAAAAAAATGTTTACTTTTCAGTCCTCTATATTTGATTACTCCAAACTTTTACATGAAAGGAGTTGTTTCATGAATATGATCTGAACAAAAACTAATAATCAAAATGAGGGTGAGAGTAAATATTTCAATTGTTCAAAATGAGTGGTGATATTGGAAAGTTGGAAACATATGTCATGTTGTTTTGATAGGTAGAATGGAAACTTCGGGCATGAAATGGATCTGATAAAAACATCAGAGCAAAAGTAATGACGTGTGTTTGGATAGCCAAGTTATTATCATCAAAAGATGACTTGAAACTCATATTCTGATTATGCCAACTTAATGGAAGAAATACGCGTCGAGGGTCGGTACTTCTCTCTGTATCTGTAGAGTAGGGAGGGTGAGTATAAGCCCACGCACTTAGGCCACATGTGACCCATTGTAC